CACCTAGGTGAATCCAACCATTCACCCCCTCTAAGTCAACAGAACTTTCTCTCTGATTGTCCAATTAGCTAGGTAGTGCACAGTTGTAATCCTCTTGAACAAGGCATTGCTTATCTCCTGAAACCATTAATTGCCTCCAACTTGGGAGAGTCTTCATTGGATCCCTGACCATCTTTAACCCTCTAAAAAAATCTTAATGCATAAAAGTTGACAGCCACAGTGATCTTCAAAGGTCTTAGCTTCCAATGTCCAGCAAGCCGATAGAATAGTGCACAAATCAATGACCACTTCCCTGGAGAGCCTCAGTCTGCAATAACGCTGTCCTTTGGATATCTGTCGATAGTTGAGGCCTGGCCATTCCAACAGATTGACCATAACTCGAATGGAAGGCTTCACAACGTGTTCTTCTCCAGAGTGCCCACTCAGAGGCTGGCCCTCTTGATGTTCTTGCTGTTGATGCAACATCTAGTCACAGCTTTCTCTATGCCACTCATCCTCTTCTCAGTGGATCGATTCATGCCAGGTAGACTTAATGCCTTCTCTCGCACAATCTATCTTTCCCTGGGACCTTCCTCCTTGCTGGTCCTTTTGGCAAAGTGTCACTGCTCCAGTGTATCACTTGCAGAATATATATCGGGCCTACTGGCACCCTTGAATGACCCATTCACATTCGTGATGGCACTTGTGAAGGCTCTTACTGCTGGCTGGGAATGGTCATTGTTCACAATCCTCCCCCTTCCAGCACATTTTACCTTCAGAATAACTATTAGAGGCATTGTTGAAGCCCCACCTCACTGCTATGGCCTGTACCTAGTCAGGTTTTGTTGATATACAGTGTGGAGCTGGAGGAACACAGCAGGTCAGGCAGCATCAGAGAAGAAGGAAAGTCGATGTTTAAGTTTACATCCTTCATCAGGGCTGGGGAGGGAGAAGGGAGCTCGGAAATAAATAGAGGGAGGGTGGGGCTGCGGTAAGGTATGTGGGATGGTGATAGGTGGATGCAGGTAGGGGGTAGTGGAGATTAGTCAGTGGGGAGGCTGGGGCAGATGGGTGAGAAAGAAGATGGACAGATTGTGTCAGGTCAAGGAGGTGGAGATGAGAAGGAGGGTTGGACATGGGATGAGGTCAGGGGTGGGGAGATTTTGATACTGGCGAAGCTCCCAAAGCAGAATATAAGACGTTGTTCCTCCAGGTTACAATTGGTGTAATTGTGACACTGGGTGAGGCTCAGGATGGACATGTCACCAAGCGAGTGGGAGGGGGAGTTAAAATGGTTGGAAACCGGAAGGTGTCGTTGATTATAGCGTACAGAGAGCAGATGCTCTGTGAATCAGTCATCGAGTCTGCACTTGGTCTCACCGATGTAAGGGAGACCACATCGGGAGCAACAGATGCAGTAGACCAGCTTGGAGGACATACAGGTGAATCCCTATCTGATTTGGAAAGATTATTTGGGGCCTTAGACAGAGGTGAGAGTGGCAATGTCGGGGCAGGTGTAGCACCTCCTGCAGTTGCAGGGAAAGGTGCCAGGTGTGGTGGGGTTGGTGGGGAGTGGCGGAGTGAGCGGTACTACGAAAGACAGATAGGGGTGGGGAGGGAAATATCTCTTTGATGGTGAGGGTGGATTGCAGGAGGTGGAAGTGGCAGAGGATGATGCGCTAGATGCGGAGGTTGGTGGGATGGTATGTGAGGATCAAGGGGACTCTCTTCTTATTTTTGTTGGGGGGAATAAAAAAAAAAAGAGGGATTTTGAGGGCAGAAGTGCTGGAAATGCAAGAGATGACGTTGAGGGCATTATGAATCATCAGAGGTGGGGGGTGGGGGGCGGGGGGTGGAGAGGGGCGGTGGTGTTGCTGCCCTTGAAGTAGTAGGAAGACATCTGGGATGTCCAGAAGTGGAATGCTCCATCTCGGGAGCAGATGCAGCAGAACTGGAGGAATTGGGAGTATGAGATTGCTTTCTTGCAGGAGATTGGGTGAGAGGAGGTGTAGTCAAGGTAGCTATGGGAGCTGGTGGGTTTGAAATAGATGTCCTCCAACTTGAACTACTGTATCCGTTGCTCCCAATGTGGTCTCCTCTACATCGGTGAGACCAAGCACAGACTCCGTGACCCATTCGCAGAGCATCTGCACACTGTACATTACAATCAAAAATACCTTTTGGATGCCAACCATTTTAGTTCCCTCAGAGATAGTAGGAATTGCTGATGCTGGAATCTGAGATAACAAAGTGTGGAGCTGGAGGAAGAAGGGTCCAGACCTGAAATGTCAGCTTTCCTGCTCATCTGATGCTGCCTGGCCTGCTGTGTTCCTCCAGCTCCACACCTTGATATCTCATTTTAATTCCCCTCCCATTCCCTTGGTGACATGTCCATCCTGGGTCTCCTCCAGTGTCAAAATGACGCCACACGTAAACCGGAGGAACAACTTCTCATTCCACCTTGGGAGCTTACAGCCCGATCGCCTCAACATAGAATTCACCAGTTTCAAAATCTCCCCACCCCCGGCCTCATCCCATGTCCAACTCTCCCTCTCATCCCCGCCTCCTTGACCTGACACAACCTGTCCATCTTTGTTCTCACCTATCCACTCTACCCTTCCCACTGACTAATCTCCACTACCCCTTGCCTGCATCCCACCTACCTTCCCCCAGCCCCACCCCCACCCCATTTATTTCTGAGCTCCTTTCCCCCTCCCCAGTCCCAATGAAAGGTATAAACCTGAAACGTCGACTATCCCGCTCTTCTGATGCTGCCTGACCTGCTGTGTTCCTCCAGCTCAACAATGTATTGACTCTGATTCCAGCATTTGCAGTTCTTGCTCTCTCCTAGGTTTTGAAGATATGTTAATCCTGCGCACTGCTAAAAATTACACACTGCGTCACAACATTCAAGTCAATTACATTTAAATTTATGCTGATTACTTTCCATCAAGATCAAATGATGTCCCAAGTCGCAGCAAAATGTTCAGTGATCTTTCCCATGTTTGTAAAACTCAGAGTCCTCTCCAGATACTCCATGCTGCCTCCTACCCGACTCTACAGACCCTGTAAAATTTCAGCTCAAGTCTGTAAACATCCTGATATTATGCTTGTAACATTATGTACAACATATAAAATGAGCATTGAGGGAACAATTACATGACATTTTTCCCTGAAGAGCTATCCAAACCTTCTCCTTAATACAAATTAAGGCTGACCCCTATGCATTATACATTATACGTTGCCCATTCTCAAGCCAGATAGATAATTAGGGGAAGCACAAAATTGATAGGAAATAGGGAATACTCGGAAACTCTGATGCAGATTTTGGCTCAAAGATACTTTTGTCCCCAGACTTTGGCAATACACAAACAACACATACGGAAACCAAGAAGTTAATGGACTGGCAGAAATAGGTATCTGAACCTTATTGACACAATCAAGGTGATCTGCAAGTACTTACTGTGCCTCCACAGAAAACTCGCCCCAGAAGAAAATTTATTTCAGGTCACCTGCAGCAGCCTTCAGGTAGGTTCAGAAAATGGGTGATTGCACGCTAAGTCATGTGGACATTACCGCCTCATCCTGACAAAGTTCTTTCTTACAAATAAAATTTAAATTAAAACATATTTAGATGGAGATCACAGCAGCCTGTGAAGAAGCCAAACAGGGAAGGCTGCCTGATCATTAAGTAATCAATTTTATACAGATGATCTTCAATGGGCAGTATACTCTTAATTAATGATTCAGGGAGCCTAATTCTGTTTTAGGCTTCCAACCAGTCTGCCTAATATATGAAGTCCATGAATTCAGAAGTGAACTACCATCTGTGTAGATTGGATGCAGGTTACCTGATTCAAAGCGATTTGCTTTGTACACATTTTAAGCCTTAAAAATCAATGCAGTACAAACAATTTCTACACCACCTCTCTTTCTAAGAAAATAAAATGACCACAATGCCTCTCACTTGACTTGGAGATCTGGATTTTTGTGACAAATTTTCAAACCTTGTTGAAATCTCTCATTTTAGGCCAATGCAAAATCCTAATGCCACTCTGATTGTAATTCAGAAGGTTTGGCAACATCTGTGGAGAGAGGAACAGATTTAACTTTGGATCCATTATGACTCTTTCCCAGAAGAATTTCTCTTCCTACAGATGAAGCCAGATCTACTGAGTTTCTCCAACATTCTGTTTTAATTTAAGATCTCCAGCATCCACAGCACTTTGCTCTTCTACTTATAATCAAAGCTGGAGGCTAACGATATCGCACCTGGTCTACAAATAGCACTCACCTTTGTCTTTTGGCATGATTTATGAAGCATATGACTAAATTCTCATAGTCCTATTTTTTATAACTATATTTTCATTGTACAAAACACATTACCCTAAGCAATTCGAATGCCTTTCATTTTTATACTAAAATCGACCACGTGGGATGAATTTTCCACTGTAACTTTGAGAAGGGTTATGGATACTAGAGAGACTTCCATTATTTTAGTCTAACAAAAGTACCACAGTTACACTTTTGGATATTTTAAGTGTAGCATACATACTTGCAGGTATCCACTTCTGGCATTTGTCACAGTAATAGGACATCTCTTCCATCCAGGACATTTCCCCTTCATCACCTAACTCACTGTTCAAAGAATCCCCACTCTGATCATGGGACAGATCTACTGAAGCCTGGTCTTCTGACTCAACTATCAGTAGGGTTTCCCCTTCAACTTCTCCTTCCTCCAAGCCTTCTGAGGCAGTCATTCTTGCACATTCATCCTCCATTTGGCAAGCAGTTAAGTTTTTTGGCTCTTCATTATCATCCATCTTCCCAAACCTCTAGCAAAGTTTGCACTAGACGGAGTCAATGGCTAGAACATCATGGCAGTCACCCAAATAGCAGCTATATTCATTTTAAGTTAAATAAATCTAAGATATCTTTTTCCAGAATTATGGTGGGTAAAAATATCTGTCATCTATTAAACACCCAAAGTCATCACTGCGCATTCAAAAATTAAAACGAGGCTACTGCTTTTCAGTCTGTTGAGAGCTTCCTGGGGTCAATGAATTTTGCTGAAGTCGATCTGCTTCCAGTTTCTTTGTCAGACTAATCTGTTCCTCCAGAATTCGAAGATTCTCCTTTTTGCGTGCCTGTCGTTCAAGGTCTCTGAAAACTCCTTCTCGCAACCTCTATGGAAAGAAAGAAAGAAAGAAAGAAAGAAAGAAAGAAAGAAAGAAAGAAAGATTTAGTTTCTTTTAAAAATTCATCTAGTGGTCAATATAAAAAGTTACATTAATTTGCCCAACATTACAAAGCAGCTTTAAAGATGCATATCCTAATCATTCAAGTGACTGGAAGTTCAAACACAGAAGCAGAGAAATGTGATTTTTCACTGGAAGTCCTTAATACTAGCTGAGACAGTTTAACCTATTGAAATGTTGCCAAGTTCAAGACCTAGACTCCATCGATCATGTTTCATGTTAACCCCCACGTTAAAGCATGGGGGTTTTTCCAAAAGAGGGGCATCTCAATCACATCACATCCTTTTAAAATGTGGGATTCCTGATTCAAGTATAAAATATTCTTCAAATATCCATTCAAAATATTAAAGAGAACATTTGAAGTCAAAGTTTACTGAGCACCCAGAGCAAATTTTGTAATGCAATTATTGTAGAACACCTTCCAGAAATGCAATAAGTACTGCATGGGAACAGTTGAACTGCTTTCATTTTAAACTTCCTGGCAGCTAAAGCAGGAATCCATCTAGGGTTGTCAACTTTTAAACTAAAATGATGGAGCAGATACATTAACAATTCAGATATGGCCCAGTGAAGTTAGAAAAGAACCAACTCCTCTGTTGCATTTTTTTAAATGGCAGCCAGGAATCCACAATCCACTACATGTGCGTTCAGCCACATGCATAGTAAAGTTTCACATTCCTGAAATGCACACAGGAAACAGAACGTGCTGGTGCAAGTGCACAACATCAGGTACCAGTATTAACCGGACGAGTAGTACAAACTCAGTGTTATCGCACCTTCTATATGATGTTAGACAGTTTACTTCCCACTAATCATTCCTGCATTTTCCATAAATGAGGCCCTCTTGATCAAAAGAGAGTCTATATCTCAATACCAAGCATCACTAGCAACAGAACCCCTCAATTAATTTGCAGGCTGCACTTTTTAGTCAGGTGTTAATTGTTCGAGTCAATTTTGGAACTTCTACAGCTACGCGTGCTTCTAGACCTCAGTTCCTAGCTTTCCCTGTGAGGTATTATCTATGCTGAGATGCAGTCTTTTTCTCTCTCCCATTTCTTATCTTACAGCAAAGAACAAGAATCAACCACTCAGAGATAACAAAGTTATCTGACAGAGTTAGACAGCTAGAGAGGATTGGACACAAGGCCGAGAGAAGAGATGCAACACCACATCACCATGGAGAGAAAGGATCATGAATTCACTAGCAAAAGAAGGAAGGAAGAGAAAACTGAACACTGGATTCCACAGCAAGCAGCCATATTGATGGAATCTGCAACATTACAGTATTAATCACAGCTAGAATGACTGGGAAAGAAAGGAGGGAGGTAATGGTTAGGAGGTTGAGAGGGAAGACAACAAGAGAAAGATGTCAGAAACAGAAGTAGAATGGGGTATAATGGAAGAGGTAATGTAATGACAGTAAAGAAAGGAAAGGAGAGAGGTGCCATGACTGCTGATTTTTAGGATTCTAAAGTAACTGCCAAAGTCTGATGAGGAAAGGGAGACAAGATGTTAAAAATATTATAATTTTTACGATGTCTATGTTAACAACTCTGATGTCAAAGTGCTTTTCTCAATTCCACATTAAGCAGCACAATGCAGTTACATGGCTTGACTTCACAATGAAATCCGAAGTAACTTAAAGGTTTTGTTAAACAACAGATAATATATGCAAGTTGTGGATGTTTGTTCACATAAGAGACTCCAAAGAAAATATGTTAGCAACTAAAGAGAAACAATGAAAAAGAATTAAGTTAAGAAATCTTTCAAAGCAGAAAATGTCAGTTCAGACTGTAATTTGTCTATTCTCCACAGAATTTAAGACTGTAAAAGATTTTTAAAATTTAAAATAAGAGATACATTAGAGCAGTACTACCTTTTGTTGCCGGCACAATTCATTACTGGAAGTTCCAACATTACCATAACAGCAAAATGAACAACTATGCCATCAAATTCCAGGCCGAAAAATGATAGACAATATATCAGAAGGCTGAATCATTTACAGTCTTTACAGAAGGCTATCCAATATATTACTCGCATTATTAATCAACACCACAGGACAAAAAAGTAGCCCGCACTATCTGTCACAATCATCTCCTTGATTATGCCAGGGCGGAGGTCACAGGAATGCTGTTGAAGAACATTAGGATGACTCTGGGATAATCTCAACCAAGGTGACCAAACACTGACTTTCAAAATTGCTTCTGTGCCTTCAGCAGAGTTAACATATTCAAAAGCAATGGATGCAGAAAGATGCAAGCAGTTTCACTAATGAAGTCACTTAATATCTATGTAAGACAATAACACTGACAAATTATCAATGCCAAAAGTGTTCGGCTCAGGAGTTTTAAAAGAGTCTGTCCTGCAGACAATGATTCTTGTATTGATAATTATGCAACAGCATCACAAGAACATATATTCATTTTAGCAATAGGTCATTTTAACAAACGTATCTTCAATTTATCTTAAAAATACAGGGAGGACCCTACGGTCCAACTCGTCCACACCAACCATGTTCCCTAACTAAACTAAGCCCACCTGCCCACATTTGGCCCATATTTCTCCAAACCTTTCATACTCATGTACTTATCCAAATGCCTCTTAAACATCGTAAGTGTACCTGCATCCACCACTTCCTCTGGCAGTTCATTCCACTCGCTAACTACTCTCTGTACAAAAAAAAAAGTGCTCCTCCTGTCCTTTTTTAAATCTTTCTCCTCCCACCTTAAAAATATGCCCCCTTGTTTTGAACTCCTCCACTTCAGGGAAAAAACCTTTGCTATTCACCTTATCTATGTCCCTCATGATTTTATAAACCTCCATAAGGTCACACCTCAAACCTCCTACGCTCCAGTAAAACATGTCCCAGCCTATTTTTATGACGCAAACCCTCCACTTCCAGCTACATCCTTGTAAATCTTTTCTGAACCTTCTCCTGTTTACTAATATCCTTCCTATAACAGGGTAACCAAAAGTGCACACAGTACTCCAGAATAGGCCTCACCAACGTCCCATACAACCTCAACATCATGTCCCAACTTCTATACTCAAAGGTCTGAGCGATGAAGGTAAGCATTCTCAGTGGCTTCTTAACTATCCTGTCTACCTGTCATGCAAATTTCAAAGAATTATAGAACAAAGAGACCTGGGGTTCAGGTATATAACACTAACTAGGGCCCTACCATTAATTGTACAAGTCCTACCCTTGTTCGTCTTACCAAAATGCAATGCCTCGCATTTATCCAAATTAAACTCCATCCGCCACTCCTCAGCCCATGGACCCAATCGATCAAGAGCTCTTTAACATCTTAGATAACCTTCTTCACTGTTCACTATACCATGAATTTTGGTGTCACCTGCAAACTTACTAACCATGCTTCCTATATTATCATCCAAGTCTTTTATATAAAATGACAAACAAAAGTAGGCGCAGTACCCATCCCTGTGGAACACCGCTGGTCACAGGCCTCCAGTCTGAAAAACAACCCTCCACCACCACCCTCTGTCTCCTACTGTAAAGCCAATTTTGTATTCAATTAGTACACTCACCTGAATCCCTTGTGGTCCAACTTTATTAATTAGGTTACTTGCAAAACTTTATCAAAGGCTTTACTAAAATCCAAGTAAACAACGTCTACCACTCTGCCCTCAACAATCTTTTTGGTTACTTCCTCAAAAATACTTGTTAAGTTTGTGAGGCATGATTTCCCACACATAAAACCATGCTGACCATCCTTAATCATTCGTAAATCCTGTTTTCCAACAATGTACCCACCACCGATGTCAGACTCACATACATTTATTTCCTAGGCTTCTCCTTGCAGCATTTCTTAAATAAAGGCACAACATTAGCCAGTCTCCAGTCCTCTGGCACCTATAGATGATACAAATATTTCTGCTGGGACCCTGCAATTTCCTCCCTAACTTCTCACAATGTCCTGGGATACACTTGATCAGTTCCCAGAGGTTTATCTACTTTTATGTTTTCTAAGAACTCTAGCACTTCCTCTTCAGTAATGTGAACTGATTTCAATACATCAATATTAATTTCACCGAGTTCTCTAGCCTCCGTTTCTTTCTCCACAGTAAAAACTGACACGAAACATTAATTTAGTATCTCTCCCATCTCCTAAGGTTCAACACAAAGACAACCTCGTTGATCTTTAAGGGGCCTTATTTTCTCTCTCATTGCTCTTAAAGTACTTATTGAATCTCTTTGGATTATTCTTAAAATTACCTGTCAAGGCTATCTCAAATCCTCTCACTGCACTCCTGATTTCTGTCTTATGAATGCCCCTGTTCTTCAAGAGATTCGTTTGATCCCACTTGTCTATCCCTAGTATATGATTCTCTCTTATTCCTAACTAGAACCTCAGTATCTTTATTCATCCATTGTTCCCTAATCTTACCAGCCTTACCCTTCACTTCAACAGGAATATAATGCCTCTGAACTCTTGTTATCACACTTTTGAAAGCTACCCACTTGTCAGTCATCCGTTTACCTGCTAACAGTCTACTCCCAACAACTTTTAAAAGTTCTTGTCTCATACCATTAAAACGTGTCCTACTCCAATTAAGGTTTTGGTCCCTGTCAACCAAAGTGATATAGATCCTCTTCCATCATTGGGTCTTGATTACCCTTGTTCTTCTTTGTAACTCTGCCTTTCTTGTTTGAAGAGTTCTCCTCTTTGCCTCACTGGTAATGCTGTTATTCCAGGCATGAAGAGCATTCCTCTTCTTATTGATGAGGTTTTAGATGATGTGGTCATTCTCGTCGAACTAGTCTTAGGGTATTCTGGTCTCTTCAAAGGTGATGGCTGTATTCAGCTCTTTCCAGATTTCATCAGCTCCATTAAAATAACCTTTTCGGAAATTTTAGTGAAGACATTGTTGGAAGTTTGCTAGTCTGCTTGCTTCTTGAAGCTGCT